TCTGACAATTTCCGGCAATTTTGCTTACAATCCTTTACAACTTTTGCGCATTTTCTTCTCAAATTTGGAGGCTGTTCATTGGCCATACGCTTAGAAAAACGAGTTTAAGTGAGCTATTGATAACATGTTTTCTAAATTTCCCGCGCAAATGCGCACTTTGGAGCAGACTTGTGAGCATGTTAGTTATATGGTAGTTAGTTATCGGAGACGATACGCTGAGAAGGGGGAAAGGCGAAACGGAATGAGAAAATGTGATCCCTTGAATTCTCGGAATTCGTAGATTTGCCAGCCCTTCTCCCAAAAAAAAGAGTTCCAGCTCCCTTTCCGTAGACCTGCCGCTGAGACTTCGCAGTCGCTGCTCCAACTATGTGTAGATGCAAAAATCTTAGAAATTCGCTGTGTAAGTCGAAAGTTATCAGCATGTGAAACAAGAACAAATATTGGTACGTGGTATCTCCTTTTGAAATACAGACAGTAGACTAATGGTTCCACCTACACTTACTGTCTTACTTAAATTTAATTGTCGCTTTGCAGAACAAGTTGCCAAGAGACGTGCTTTCTTAAAATATGTTTGCTCCACTCAAAGTTATTCGCCATCAGAACTTATTCAGGATTGAAAGCAAATTGTTCGAGATTTTGAAAGTCTTTAACTTCAGTTTTTGTTTGTGAAATAAGTAATGCTAAGAAAAAGAAACAGGGCGATGTTGAGAGATACTGTGAAGTTCTTTTATTCGATCTGTAAGTACATACAACTAGCTTTTGATATGATGGGAAAATTTCACCTAAACAAAGATAAATCTCAAGTGACGAGAATCTGAATGGGAATGTGACATTGAAGAGCGCAAGGCAACGCTGTCGATATTAAAAAAATCCTTATAAAATAAGAAAGTCAGAAAAATATACGCATCACGTATTACTGGATAAAGCTGCATGTATCGTGATTGAAGATCAGTAGTAATTTCACCGGGATGAAAAATTAACTAAGTAAGGGGGGCAGTTCGATGGGGAGAACAATGAAAGCTCAGCAAGATGGATGAGAAAATGGCATAATAGTTTTCCAATGATAGATAAACAAATTAGTGCTAGCAGTATGACACGTGAGACAATTATCGTTGAAGCAAAAGAAATGCAAAAAAATGATAAAAGACTATCCTTCATGAACTCTAGGACTATCATCATCACCAAATTGAACACATGGAGCTTTACTAGCGGTAAGCTGCTCCTCTTTCGGTGGGGTCACCCGACGAACGGACGTCATTGAGGGAGCTGCCGATTCTTGCTTTATTGTGAATCGACGCGTTTTTCTAAGAAGAATTCATATTTTAGAACAGGATATTAAGACCTTAATGTAACCCAAAACCTACCCATTGCCGCCTGTATCCGTTTCGATTCTTCGCGTTGGTGAGACTGATATGCGAAATCTTCTTGATGGTGAAGACGACCGCTTCTCATCATCGGTCGACGAAACCACGGGTGAGGCCTTAATACCGTAATTTTGCAATATTATAGCAAATCATAACATTTATTAGAAAATTGGAAACTACTTCATATACAGTTATTAAAAAGTTGTTCTAATACATTTGATTAGACGCTAATTTTTTTTTCAAATCGTTTGTCCTGATAATTGAAGTGCCAAAATAATATTGGTGGCGCTCTTAAACAATTCTAATACATTGTGATCACAGATTCTTTTGCATTATCGTTTTACTGTTAAGGAGCATCACTTCCTCAGAGTAAAAAAGAGAAAGTAGACATACACAAGAAATTGTAAAATGTTTAAGGGTGTAAACCAAATCCTCTCTTAGCATAATTCGGAAATAATAACGGAAAAATACTTGGAAAGAAACTACCTCTTGCTCATATTTCCTGTGTGGCGGCACAGCTGACTTTTGAACTGGACTTGGATACTTTGTACTTGGACCAGGTTGAGACTGTTGTGGGCTGGTTCCAGAATTTACATGCGTTTTATAAAAAGGTAGTGGCGTCCTAGGAATATTTTTCAATTCTCGCAAAATAGATGAAACAACTGATCGCAAACTTCTTTAGCAATTGCTCCTTTCTTGCTCGAACTTCTTCGATAGACGGCCACGGTTGGAATGATGTATGACTACCTTCCATGGCAAATCTGGAATCAACATTTACCATTACTCTATCATCTTCGCTAGCACAGACACTAACGAATTATTATTTCCATTGGCACTTGTCGAGGCTGTTGTCGCAGAAGTGGACTGCTTCTTCTGTTCCAGTTCCTCCTCTGTTTCCTTCGTAGTCGGCAGGCGATGCACCTCCGCTCGCATTTCTTGGCTGTTTCGTAGCTTTTGCGATGTAATCAAGCTAAATCTTCCATAAAAAACTACTAGACTTCAAAATTGAAGGTGAACTGTACATGATTGCTCTAGGACTACTTTTATTTCTAGACTATTAAGCAAATCAATAATTCGATCCATTATAAGTTCACTTTTGATCCGTTGAGATTTCTTCAGATTCAGTTTTGACCTCGAACTACCCATCCTTTCTACCTCAGCTGTTTTGGAGTTCTACACTGTTAGAAGTTGAAAGTTTCTTACTGCTCTTGACTACTTCTACTATTCAAAGTCTCAATCATTTGCAACCAAAGCGAGAGAAAGGGTGTCCTACTAGTAACCTATCTTATCTCCTAAATTTGGAATCCGGAAGACCAAAAAATTGCCAGAATTAAGAATCGGATTCTAGGCAACACGCTGGTTGGAAAATCTCACGTTCTAGTTTGAAGGTGATGTGCTGATTGAT